GTTGCCACCCTCTGTACTTCATACTTGTGTTCGGCTGCCGTCTCAGCAAGGTATCGCCTCTGTCTATGTCTTTGGGGTTATCATACACTGTAGTTATATGATAATCTGTTCTGGCCTTTTTTATAGGATGTAAGACCAATTTCTCTCCATGATACCTGCAAAAAAGAAAAGGAAAAAAACAACACAGCATCAGCATCACCTACCTCACATACCAAAGCTTATTAGCTGTTAAGCGGTGTCCACACTGGAAGCAAATTGAGTGACATCCTGCAATTTCAAGTGACTAAGGGCGGAATAACTGCTGGCGTTTGGGAAGTGGGTTGGATGTAAAATTAACTTCTTTTAACTTCCTCCATAGGATCGAAACAACTACCAATGAGAGTGAAGAATAGCAGTATTGATTGACACCTGAGCCTGGAATAAGCGACCTGCCGTCAGCTTGAGAGCAAAGTCGATCAAAATCTTCCGCTGATTGTGCTCATGCTCACCCAAAGCCTCTTTTACAGTTGGGATGTTGCCCCTCATTTTCAAGTGCTTCAGAAATTCCAATCTGGCTGTTTCCTAGGCCTTCACCTTCCCTCCAGCCGTGTTTCTCCATCACACGACGCCCAAAGCCCTAATCAGAGAAAAAATATATGTGCAGTTATCTGATGTGTAACAAGAGGAAAGATTAGATTAAGTTATATGTGATGGCAACCTCCTCACCTTAGTGAACCTCTCAAAGCGGCCAATAGACTGATTGTGCCCCGATCCATCTTCATGACCCTCCCTCAGCCTCTTTTCATACCGCATTGTGACGTAATCTCGAGCATCCATGTCACCTCCATCTGTAAAAGGACTTGGTTATAGGAAATCTGACTCTGCATTAATAGAACACAGTTTAGTTAATTAGGGTAAAAAATTTTTACCTTTATCATAGTAAACACTCATGTCAACATCCCAGTCATCGGCTGTTTCTTCATCAAAGTCTGAAAAACGAGAGAAACACACATGAATGTAATCACACAGTCGCTGTTGTTTTGTTAGCTATTTGTTCATGATGTAAATCTCTGGTTACATCACATCCCTCTATTGAATTGAGATCTGGTGACTGTGCCATTTGAGAACAGTGAACTCATTGTCATGTTCAAGAAACCAGTTTATGATGATCTCAGTGTTTTCACGTGGCTTGTTATCCTGTTGGAAATGGGTACACTGTTGTCATAAAGATGGATGTTCATGGCGAGTAGCAACACAAAAGTAGATTGTGACATTTAAATGATGGTCAGTTGGTACTAAGAACCCCAAAGTGTGCTAAGAAAATATTCCACACCCCAGCAGTTGACACAAGGCAGGATGAATCCATGCTTCCATGTTGGTTACTCCTAATTCTGATGTTCCAGTGTTTCCAACGTTCTTTTCCAGTCTTCTTTTGTCTGGAGTTGTTGAACTTTTGTGAACATCAGTTTCCAGTTCTTAGCAGACATCTGCTGCTGTAGCCCATGTGCTTCAAGGTTTAACATATTCAGATATGCTGTTCTGCCCCCCCTTTTTTTTAACGAGTGATTATTTGAGCTACTGTTGCTTTCACTCATAAAGAAGTCTGGCTGTTCTCCTCTGACACCAAACGAGGCATTTTCACCCACAATTTGCTGCTCACTTTATATTTGCTTGTTTTTGGACCGTTTTCTGTAAAACCCGACAGATGCTTGTGTGCGAAAAACGCCGGAAGATCAGCAGTTTCTGAAATACTCAGACCAAACTGTCTGACAGCAACAACTATGTTTCAAGTTATTTAAACCAGCTTTCTTCCCTATTCTGATGCTTGGTTTAAGCTTCAGCAGGTCGTCCTCACCACGTTCGCATGTCTAAACTCATTCAGTTGCTGGCATGTGATTGGCTGATCGAATTTTTGAATTAGCAAGCTACTGAAGAGGTGTATCTAACAAAGCGGCCAGTGTGAGTATATTTGCAATTATCTTTTAATGTATGTTATTGTAGAGCGGAATTTGTTTGTCAGCATCTCCACTGAATTGATTTCTTATACTAATTAACACATACAGACACTTTCAGTTTGCCTTTCCACACCTATTTACCTAAAGTTTGCTTAATAACCTGCACACCCCCATTGCTCGTTTATTAACACAGTATAGTATGCAAGCTTTTTTCTTCAAAGTGCATTAGTGTTTTTGGTGCCTACCTCCTTCTTCCTCTTGCCAGTACTGAGCATCAGTGTAGAACACCAGACCTGAGCCTCCTTTTTCCCACTTCAGCTCAATCTCTTCTTCAAACAGTCTCTCTTTGGTTCGCTCCTGGCTTGTTACATCGTCATGCAAAGCCTCGTGGCGTTCCCACTCCTCACAGCAGTCATCATCCTACAATCAATCACATGAAGAAATTAGCAAACTACAATAAAGGGATGATGATGGTTTTAGTTAGGCTGCACCTAATGGACAGCCGACACAAACTAAAACCAACACATTTATCCAACACATTTATTACACTCCTGCTGGTTGATAGGACTGAACTGAACCTACATCATCAGCATTCGACTGCGCATCCTCTTCCTCTGCGTCTTCCTTCTGTGCTTCATCAGCCTCAGTGGTTTCTGTGTTATCACCCAGCTGCCTCGATCCTAAGGATGAACCAGGCAAAGTACCTGGTCCTGATATTTCATGTCCAGCAGCTGTTAATACAGTCTCTTCTGTGGCTGGAAGTGTGCAAGTGTCATGGTACTGGAAGGGCACGTTCCCATAGCGACGGTTGGAACTGGTCTTGGGGAAAGTGAGCCCCAGTTTCCGAATGAGGCGTGGAGGCAGGCGACAGGCTTGGATGAGCTGGAGAAACACTTTTACGGATGTGCCCACATTCCCGTTCTGCATCAGAGCAGGTGGATTCAGTTCGGAGAGGCTTCTGAGGTCGGCCTCTGTGAATCGCTCTGTTAAGGAAACACGGTGCCGCTGCTCATACTTTGTTTTATAGGGGAAAGATCCGTCATCTGAAAGAAAGGAAAAAACAATAACACATGTACAAAGAGTGACAAAAACCACACGATGTGAAAGGTTCGTGCACCTCTTACTTCTAGGCTGGGTCATTGTAATTCCTTACTGTCAGGTTCTCCTAAAAACTTCCCATAAAGCCTTCAGTGAAAAACAAAACACAACAAAATGCCGCAACGAGAGTGCAGACAGGCACTAGAAAGAGAGATCATATTTTTCCCCATACTGGCTTCTCATCACTGGCTTCTTGTTAAAACCAGAACTGAATTTTAAATCCTTTTCCTCACATACAAAGCCTCCATCTTATCTTAAAGACCTTACAGTTTAATATCATCCCAGTAGCACTCTCAGCAGGCTTATGATTTATGGAGTTTCCAAAAGTTGAATGGGAGTCAGAGCCTTTAGCTGTCAGGTCCTCCCCAGTGGATCCAGCTCCCAGTTTGGATTCAGGAGACAGACACCTCTTCTACGTTGAAGGTTAGGATTTAAACGTTCCTTATTGATAAAGCTTATAGTTAACATCATAGTCATAATTTTTTTTGCTACAGGCTCAAGGTGCTGGGCTGAGGCTTCCCATGATGCACTGAGCATATAGTCTCCATTCCCATCTTTTCACCCCCCATATGTTTAATATGCCACTACCGCATGATCTTAACTTTTCTTTTAGTCCTGCTTGTTGTCTATATGCTCCAGCCTGAGCCTGGTTCAGCTGGAGGTCTCTTCCAAATAAAATCAAGTTCTTTCAGACACCAGTATAGGAGACCCGTGTGCCGTAACGCTATTGCCTAAGAGAGGCCTAAATTCAAATCTGCCCTACGGCCATTTACTGTGTGTCTTGCCCATGCTCTTTGTCCCAGCTTTCCTGTCTTCTCTCCAATAAATGCTGCCCACAGCGGATCTTTTGGGATCTCTCTCCAACACTGTGGGGTGACTGTAACTCGAGAGGTAGAGCAGGTCATCTACAAATCAGAAGCTTGGAGGTTTGATCCCTGGCATACAGACTGGAGAAGTGTTACAATATTGAGTTGTATTTTGAGCAGCTTCAGCAACTAACCAAGTTTCTCTCATCCATCAGAGTGTCAGTGTTAGACAGAAAGCAATTTAAAAAGTGCTTCTATGAATTGGTGAAGGAGACAAGCTGTAGGAAGCACAGCAAGTGTTCAGGTAGAAGAAAAGGGTTAAAGTATATAAGACCCAGCCAATTGTAATGTCTGTCTTCTTCTTTCAGCTGCTCTCCTTAGGGGGTCACCACAGCTCATCTCCCTCCATCTCAATCCTTTGCATCTTCTTCAAGGGATAGGAGATGGAGGCAGATGCTACCTTACAGTTAACAGCAAAATATACCTTCACCCATGTCAGCTTCACTGCCACAAGGACAGATCAGGAAATAACCCTGGACGTAATACGTTTTAATAATCCTCCACATCTTTTAAAATTCAGTTTTGCTTTGTTGATTTAAAAGCATTTCCCCAAATATAAGACAAATAAATAATTTCTTATTTTTATAATTCTGGCTGTGATTTTCTTCTAAGGCTCACAACAGAGGCACAGGAACTACAGCT